CCCCCCCCGGTTGCTGACGGTGCCCCCGCAGGGTCTCGCCCATCAGCGAGAACCAGGTCCCGTCCAGCGAGGGCTACGTCCTCTTCTACGAGCTGGAGGAGCCGCTCGGCCGCCGGCCTTGACCCCCACCCACTTCTGGAGCACCCAAAGTGGGGGCTGCCCCCCCCCCCCCCAAGGACCCCGCTGGGGAAGGGGGGGAGGGGAGGCCCAGCCCCCCCTGGGATTTTGTCAATAAATTTATTAAGAAAAACACCCAAAAAGCCGCAGTTTGGGGGGAGGGGGCGTGGCCGGGCCATGGAAAGGGGCGGGGCTAGCGGTGGAGGGGCGTGGTTGGGGGGAAGGGGCGTGGCTTGCCGCCGTTCTGTCGCCCTCCTGTCCGTCAGGCGCCGGCGTCGCGCTATTGGTTCTCCGCGTCTTTAACCCCGCCCTTTACCAAGGCAGGGGGCGTGGCCTGCTGCTGGAGGCTGATTGGGTGGTGCGGCAAGGAGGCGAGGTTTGCCGCCGCTTAGCTCCGCCCCTCCCGCTGCGCCGCATCGTGCCATTGGCTCAGCGCGCCCTTAGTCCCGCCCTTTGCCCTTAGCAGGAGAGGGGGCGGAGCCTGCCCCTCCCTGGCGGCGCGGGGCGGGGCGCGGCGGCGGCTCCGGTGGCGGGGCCGGTCCGGGGCCTCCATGGCACCGAGCGTGGCCGTGGTGGGGGGCGGCATCAGCGGCCTGGCCGCCTGCTACCACCTGACCCGCGGCCCGCACCCGCCCAAGGTGAGCGTGGGGTGACCGGGGGGGGGGCCCGGTGTTACCGGTGCGGTCCCGGTGTGACCGGTTGCGGTCCCGGTGTGAACGGTGCGGTCCCGGTGTGACCGGTTGCGGTCCCGGTGTGAACGGTTGGGGTCCCGGTGTGAACGGTGCAGTCCCGGTGTTACCGGGTGCGGTCCCGGTGTGACCAGTTGGAGTCCCGGTGTTACCGGTTGGAGTCCCGGTGTTACCGGTTGCGGTCCCGGTGTGACCGGTTGGGGTCCCGGTGTGACCGGTTGCGGTCCCGGTGTTACCGGTGCGGTTCCGGTGTTACCGGTGCGGTCCCGGTGTTACCGGGTGCGGTCCCGGTGTGAACGGTTGCGGTCCCGGTGTTACCGCGGTGTCCGCAGGTGCTGCTGCTGGAGGCCAGCGCTCGCCTCGGGGGGTGGCTGCAGAGCACCCGCGCTGCCGACGGGGCCGTGTTCGAGCATGGCCCGAGGGGGATCCGGCCCGGGGGGACGGCGGGAGCCGACACCCTGCACATGGTAACGGGGAACGGGGAGACCCAGGGTGGGTGCTGGGGTCCCTGGGTCTATAGTGGGGGGGTTCTCGGGTGGGTTTCGGGGACCCTCGGTGGGTGATGGGGTCTGGGGGATGGTCCCGGCTGGGTGCTGGGCCCCTTGGTTTGTGATGGGGTCCAGGAGCGGGGGGTCCCCGTGTGGCATCCGGGGTGCCCCGGGGCAGGTCCGTGTCCGTCGTCCGTCCGTCCCCCCCCCATCCCCGCAGGTCTCGGAGCTCGGCCTTGCCGGTGCGGTCCTGCCCGTGCCCGGGGACCACCCGGCCTCCCGGAACCGCTTCCTCTACGTGGCCGGGGCCCTGCACAAGCTGCCCTCGGGGCTGGGGTAGGTGCCTGCTGCTTCCCCCCTTGCGGTGCCACCGCGGTGCCGCGGCCCTGACCCCCCCACCCCTCCCACGCCGTCCGCAGGGCGCTGCTGCGGCCGGTGCCGCCGTTCTCACGGGCGCTGCTCTGGAGCGGGCTCCGGGACCTCCTGGCGCCGGCCGGGACGGAGCCGGACGAGAGCATCCACGCGTTCGCTCGCCGCCGTTTCGGCCGGGAGGTGCGTGCGTGCCCGCCCCGGGGCGATAGCGGTTATCGCGACAGGGCAGGCGCGGGCGGGGGCCCCCCGGCCTCACGGCAACGTGCGCCCGCAGGTGGCGGACATCGCGGTGGACAGCGTGTGCCGGGGGGTGTTCGCCGGGGACTGCCGGGCGCTGAGCGTCCGCTCCTGCTTCCCGCTGCTCTTCCAGGCCGAGCGGAGCCGCCGCTCGGTGCTGCTGGGGCTGGCGCTGGGCTCCGCTGAGCGCGGCGGGGGGGACACGCACGGCAGCGGAGCCGAGTCGGGGTTGAGCCGGCGGGCGCGGGCCGAGCGCTGGAGCCAGTGGTCGCTGCGGGGAGGGATGGAGACGCTGCCCGAGGCGCTGGCGGAGTTCCTGCGGGAGCGCGGCGTGGAGCTGCGGTGCCACCAGCGCCTGCGACGCCTGAGCCGCCGCCACGATGGCCGCTGGGAGGTGCGGACCTGGGGGGGGCATCACCGCATTCCTGTATCCCTGGGGCCATGTCCTGCATCACTGCATCCCTGTGTGCCCATCCCTGCATCCTCATCCGTGTTCCCCATCACCGTGTCCCTGAGTACCCATCACCACGTCCCCCATCACTGTGTCTTCCATCACGACCCTCCTGTGTCCTCATCCCTGCATCCCCATCCGTGTCCCCCATCACTGCATCCCCGAGTACCCATCACCACGTCCCCCATCCCTGTGTCCCCATCCCTGCATCCCCATCCGTGTCCCCCATCACTGCATCCCCGAGTATCCATCACCACGTCCCCCATCCCTGTGTCCCCATCCGTGTCTCCCATCACTGCATCCCCGAGTATCCATCACCACGTCCCCCATCCCTGTGTCCCCATCCCTGCATCCCCATCCGTGTCCCCCATCACTACATCCCCGAGTACCCGTAACTACATCCCTGTGTCCCCATCCCTGCATCCCCATCCGTGTCCCCCATCACTGCATCCCCGAGTACCCATCACCACATCCCTGTGTCCCCATCCCTGCATCCCCATCCGTGGCCCTCATCACCACATCCCTGAGTACCCATCCCCACATCCCCCATCACTGTGTCTTCCATCACCACCCCCCTGTGTCCTCATCCCTGCTTCCTCATCTGTGTCCCCTATCACCACATCCCCCATCACTGTGTCTCCCATCACCACATCCCTGTGTCCCCATCCCTGCATCCCTGAGTACCCATCACCACATCCCCCATCACTGTGTCTCCCATCACCACATCCCTGTGTCCCCATCTGTGTCCCCCATCACTGCATCCGTGAGTACCTGTCACCACCTCCCTGTGTCACCATCCCTGCTTCCTCATCTGTGTCCTCCATCACCACCTCCCCTGTCACTGTGTCTCATCACCACATCCCTGTGTCCCCATCCCTGTGTCCCATCACTGCATCCCTGAGTACCCATCACCACATCCCCCATCACTGTCTTTCATCACCACATCCCTGTGTCCCCATCACCGCATCCCTGTGTACCCATCACCATGTCCCCCATCACTGTGCCCCCCATTCCTGTCTCCCGTCACCACAACCCTGTCCCCATGTCCCCCCAACCTCGTGGCCCTGCATCCCCATCCCCATGTCTTCATTTCTCCTATCACCACGTTCCCCCATCACCACATCCCTGTGTCCCCATCCCTGCATCCTCATCCGTGTCCCCCGTCACTGCATCCCTGAGTACCCATTACCACAGCCCCCATCACTGCATTCCTGTGTCTCCCATCACCATATCCCTGTCTCCATGTCCCCCATCCCCATGTCTTCGTTTTTCCTATCACCACGTTCCCCCATCACCAAATCACTGTGTCCCCATCCCTGCATCCTCATCCGTGTCCCCCGTCACTGCATCCCTGAGTACCCATTACCACATCCCCCATCACTGCATTCCTGTGCCTCCCATCACCATATCCCTGTCTCCATGTCCCCCATCACCGCCGTCCCCCATCACCATCCTCCTTGCCCACAGCTCACCCTGGCCGATGGCACCGTCACAGCCGACCACGTTGTCAGCGCCGTCCCGGCTGCAGGTGGATGTCGGCTGCCGGTGCTGCCACCTCCGGATGCCACCGGGATGGGGAGGGGGCACCTTTACCTGCGGCCCCATCCTCACTCATGTCCCCCCCCTATCCCCAGCGCTGGCTGAGGCACTGCCGGCCGAGGCCGCGGCGCTGGCGCAGGAGCTGCGGCGCATCCCGGCGGTGTCGGTGGCTGTGGTGAACCTGCAGTACGAGGGCGTCGCGCTGCCCGTCACGGTGAGAGCAGCAGCACCCAAGGGTGACCCCGGGGGTGTTGCCAGCACCCAGGGGTGACCCCAGCCCACTCCTGCCCAGGGTTTCGGGCACTTGGTGCCCTCCTCAGAGGATGGCTCCCTCCTGGGCATCGTCTACGACTCGGTGGCCTTCCCTGAACACAACGGCGCGGCCACGGCCTCGCTGCGGCTCACGGTGAGCACCGGGGCCGGGATTGGGCTGTACCCTGCTACCAATCCCTGGAAACACTCACGGTGCCAATAGGTGATGCTGGGAGGCGCCTGGTTCGAGCAGAGCTTCGGGGACCCGGCCACGGCCGCACCGGAGCTGCTGCTGCACCGGGCACAGGCGGCCGTGAGGGAGCAGCTGGGGCTGGAGCCGGCCCCGACCCGCTCCATCGTCAGGGTGCACCAGGTGGGTGCCAGCACCCATGGGTGGGGAGGCATAGGGGGGGTCCCATGGGACTCACTGACTGTTCCCCCCCCCGCCCAGGCCTGCATCCCACAGTACACACTGGGCCACTGGCAGCGCACAGGTAAGTGGGTGCTGAGGAGCTGGAGGCGGAAGGCACCCAATGCCCCCTCCCCTAGCACCCATCCTAACCCCACAGAGCGCATCGGCCGCTTCCTGGCCGAGCACCGGCTGCCCCTGAGCCTCATCGGAGCCTCCTACAGCGGCGTCTCCGTCAACGACTGCATCGCCAGCGCCAAGGCGGCCGTGGAGCGGCTGCTGGGGCCGCAGCCCTGAGCCCCCCCCAGCACCCACGGCCATAGGACAAAGTGTATTTTTTAATTGAAAAACCCTTATAAAGGTCCAGGGAGCAGCTCATAAATAGAATAAATAATGTGGGGCCGGGCCCCGGCCCCGGCAGCTCCCAATGGAGCTTTCCAGGTCCTTCCTGGTGCTCAGAGTCCAATGGGGGCCAGGGTTAGGGGGTGCCCTGCACCAGGCTCCCGTTGTCCCCACGGGCCATTGCCATGCCCTCATCCTGCCCCACCACGTCGGTGCCACCGTCCCCAGCACCCTTAGGGCTGCGTTGGGTGATGCCCAAGGCCGGTTGGGTGCCGTTGGGTGCCGGTGGCCGGTGCGGGGTCAATACAAGCCCTCGGTCCCCCCAGGCTATGGGGTCCCGGGGGGGTTTGCGCAGCATCTCCTCACGGAAGAGGCTGGTGCTGCTCCGGTGCCGCTGGCCCTCGTGGCCGGGGGCCGGGGCGCGGCGGGCGGCGCGCGGGTCCGTGCCGATGTCCACGGTGAGGTTGGTGTAGAGCGGGTGGAGGTGCTTGGCCAGCAGCACGTAGCTCAGCGAGTTCATCCCGTCCTGCGTCCACATCCGCTGCGTGCGGATCAAGAGGTCGAACCTGGACCAAAGGAGGAGGGAACAGGGAACAGGGAACGTCACACCACCGGGGTCAGCCCCCAAAGCGGCGCCACCGAACCCCAAAGGGTGCCCCACAACCTGTGGGGGTTCTCCTCGTTGCCTTTGTCGCTCTTGTGCTTCACCATCTTGTAGTGGCCGATGGAGACGGGCGGGCGGGCGATCTTCATCCCGGCCAGGCGCACCCTGCAATGGGGTGCTGCGGTGTCACCGGGGGGGGTAAGTGATGGGATGGGGACACCCCTGTCACCTCCCGGGTCCTACCTGGTGGCGATGTCGTCGTCCTCTCCGCCCCAGCCCCAGTACTCGTTGGGGAAGCCATTGATCTTCATGTATTGGTCTGGGGTGAGCGCTGAGACCCCCCCAAAGTACTGGGGGTAGGGCAGGCTGTGGTGGTAGTTGGGGGGGGGAAACACGGTGTTGAGCCACGGCTCCCGGTGTCCCCCCGTGTCCCTTCCACCTCCATCACCCACCTGTATCCGAACTTGTTCATGGCCACGGAAACGTGTTTGGGGTTCCAAGGGTCGCACGTGTAGAGGTTGTGATCGTTCTCCGGGATCAGATCCACGTCGTGCAGGAAGAGGCAATCCCATTCCTCATCCTTCAACGCCTCCTTCACCCCCACGTTCAGCAGCTTCGCTCGGTTGAACGTGGAGTTACCGGCCTGCGGTGAGGCAACGGGGTCGGTAACGGGGCCGGTAACGGCGGTGTGGGGCCGCTCTGCCCCCCCCACACCCCCAAGCCTTACCTGGTGCACCACGTAGATGCCGTACTGGAGCTGCTGGCGCTGCAGGAAGGGGTGCAGGTAGTAGAGGAGGTGGCCCAGGTGGGTCTCGCGGTTGCGGTGCGGGATGATGACGGCCGTGCGGGACCGGGGCTCGCAGCCGGGGGGTTGATAGCGGCCGCCCTCCCGCACCGCCGGGTTCTTGGCCTGGATCTGCTCCAACGTCGGCACCCGGCTGAAGGTCACCGTCAGCGGCCCCACTGCAGCGAGAGGGGGGGCAGAGGAAAAGGGAGGGTTGAGGGCGGCGGCAGCCCCGGGGCCGTTCCCACAGCCTCGAACCACGGGAGCGGCCCCAGTGCAGCCGGATGGGCCGGTTCTGCCGGTTCCTTCCCCGCGGAACCGGTTCTTCCTCTCCAGGAGGGGGAGGTTCTTCCCCGCGGGGCCCTTTCTTCCCCTTCCAGCCCGGTTCTCCGGCCGGGGGGGTGCCCGTTCTGCCCCCGTTGGGGCCGGTTCTCCCCCTGGGTGCCCGGTTCTTCCCCCGTTTGGGCCGGTTCTCCCCCTGGGCGCCCGGTTCTTCCCCCGTTGAGGACGGTTTTCCCCCCGTAAGGCCCGTTCTGCCCTCGTTGGGGCCGGTTCTCCCCTTGGGCACCCGGTTCTTCCCCCGTTGAGGCCGGTTCTCTCCCCGTAGGGCCCGTTCTGCCCCCGTTGGGGCCGGTTCTCTCCCCGTAGGGCCCGTTCTGCCCCCGTTGAGGCCGGTTCTCCCCCTGGGTGCCCGGTTCTGCCCCCGTTGGGGCCGGTTCTCCCCCTGGGCACCCGGTTCTTAACCCATTGGGGCCGGTTCTTCCCCCGTTGAGGCCGGTTCTCTCCCCGTAGGGCCCGTTCTACCCCCGGAAGGGCCGGTTCTCCCCCTGGGCACCCGGTTCTTCCCCCGTTGAGGCCGGTTCTCCCCCCGTAAGGCCCGTTCTGCCCTCGTTGGGGCCGGTTCTCCCCCTGGGCACCCGGTTCTTCCCCCGTTGAGGCCGGTTCTCCCCCCGTAAGGCCCATTCTGCCCTCGTTGGGGCCGGTTCTCCCCCTGGGCACCCGGTTCTTCCCCCGTTGAGGCCGGTTCTCCCCCCGTAAGGCCCGTTCTGCCCTCGTTGGGGCCGGTTCTCCCCCTGGGTGCCCGGCTCTTTCCCCATTGGGGCCGGTTCTCCCCCCGTAAGGCCCGTTCTGCCCTCGTTGGGGCCGGTTCTCCCCCTGGGTGCCCGGTTCTTCCCCCACTGGGGCCGGTTCTCTTGCTGGGGCCCTTCTCTTCCTCCCACAGACACCGGTTCTCCCCCGGCCTTAGGCCCCGTTTCTCCCCGCTGGGTGCTTCCCCCCCCCCCCGTTGCTCACCGAGGAAGGGCGAGCGCTCGGGGCAGAAGGGCAGCGGCCGCGCGGGGTCAGGCCGGGCGGGCTCCCTGGGCAGGAGCCGGCTGAGGTTCGCGTAGACATCGTGCGTGCGGGAGTAGTCGAAGACGGGCCCCGCGGCGCGGCCGAAGAGGGACGTGAGGCTGCGGAACCCGCCCAGCGAGAAGTAAGCGACGAAGGCGAACTGGCAGCCGACGAGCAGCGCCAGCGAGCGCGGCCGCTCCAGCAGCCGCCGGAGCATGGCGGCGGGGGCCGCGTCACCGAGCGCCGGGCGGCATCGCGGGGGCGACCGCGGCCCCACCGGGAAGCGGCGGAAGAGCCTCAGCCCCGCCGGGGCAGCGCCGCCATCTTGGGACGCACTGAGAGGGAGGGCGCAGAGCGCATGCGCGAAGGGGGCGGAGCCTCCGGGGAGGGGTCGCTCTTAAAGGGGCCGCTCTGGGAGGTGCCGGTGGGGCTCAGCCGTGACCCGGTGGGGTCAAGGTGAGGGCAGGCTGAGGTCAAGGGAGGGTTAGGATGAGGTCAAGGAGGGGTGAGTGCGGGGTCAAGGTCGGGACATGGCCCCGCTGGGGCGGGGGGCCCCGGGCCGGCACCACCCGGCCCCTGGCCGTTGCCGAGCGCCCCGCGCTCCCGGTTGGAGCTGCCCATGGAGAACGCGGCCCCAGGAGCCCGGAGCGGACGCTGGTACCGGGGCTGGAGGGGGCCCGGCCAGGCTGAGGCTGCTCGGGCAGCCCCGGGGTACGGGGGAGGCTGGGGGCGGCTCCCGCAGGCGGGCACTAGGACCCAGGGGACCCGGAGACCACGGCAGGGGGCGTGTCCGCAGCAAGCTCCACCCCCGCGCGGTCTCCACGGCAACCGCGCACGCCACCGCCCTCCTTCCGCGTGTTGGCCACGCCCTTATTGGTGACGTCCCGGGGACGGCGCGCTCTGATTGGGCCCCCGGTGCCGCTTCCCCGCCTCCAACTTCACCTCGCTGCTGCTGCGACGGGACCCGAACCCCGAATTCCCCCCAAATTCCTCCCCAAACCTCACAAATTCCTTCCAAATCTCCCGAATTCCCTCCAAATTCCCCTCAAATTCCTCCCAAATCTCCCCCAACATCCCAAATTCTCACTAATTCCCCACAAATTTCCCCTAAAACCTCAAAAATCCCCCCAAATTCTCCCCAAATGCCTCCAAACCTCCTCAATACACTGAAATTCCCTCCAGATCCCCCCAAAACCTTACAAATTCCCTCCAAATCTCCCAAATTCCCCCCAAACCCCTCAAATACCCCAAAATCACCTCAAATCCCCCCAAATCTCCTCAAATCTCCCCCAACATCCCAAATTCCCACTAATTCCCCATAAATTTCTCCTAAACCTCAAAAATCCCCCCAAATCCTCCCAAATTCTCCCCAAGTACCTCCAAACCTCCCAAGTACACCGAAATTCCCTCCAGATCCACCCCAAAACCCCCAAAATTCCCTCCAAATCTTCCAAATCCACCTCAAATACCACCAAATCCCCTCAAATCTCCCCCAACATCCCAAATTCTCACTAATTCCCCACAAATTTCTCCTAAACCTCAAAAATCCCCCCAAATCCGCCCAAATTCTCCCCAAATACCCCCCAAATACACCCGAATTCCCTCATCTCCCCCAAATCCTCCCAAATTCCCCCCAAATCCCCCCTAAAGCCTCCCAAATCCCCCCCAGATCCCCCCAAGGATCCCAATCCCTGCTCCTGGCATGGTCGGTGCTCACACCCCACACTGTCCCCAAACAGGGTTCCGCTTCCCAGTGCCACCATCAACATCCCGGCCCCACAGAGGCCAGAGCAGGTGAAGCCGAGGGGGCTCCAGTGGGTCAGGAGCTGCGTTCCATGGGGAATTGGGGGCACCCAATAAAGTTCTTTCAGCACAGGGGTGCTGGTGCCTGTTCTGGGTGCTGGGCACGATGCTCACAGTGCCCGCTGGGATCACCACAACCACACCGGCTCCATAAATAGCTTTAAATAAGAGGCTGGGGGGGGTGGGGGTCCACAGGTGGGGGGCCCCGGGGCCTGCCCAGGGCTGAGGTAGAAGCGGTGATGGGCGCTGGGGCTCAGCGCGGAGGCTGCGGCCATCAGTAACCAAATGGTGCCAGCAGGATCAATCTCATCCCATCACTCTCCTGCGGCTACCGGTGGTGCCGGCGGCTCTTGAGGATCTCCAGGATTTGGGCTTTCTGCTTCTCCCAGGCCTCCGACGGGCGGCGGGGCACGAAGAAGCTGAACTTCAACCGCGGTGCTCTCCGTTCGTCCACCACCAGCGCCTGCAGCAGCACCGGCTGCGGCAGCGGCCCCCGGCCCTCCAGCGTCTCGGTGGCCGCGGTGGCCCCGCTGTAGCGCAGGGTTATCCCCTTGCCCAGCGCCACGTCGGTGGCCGATGGCACCAGGATGTAGCCACCGTTGAGCAGGGATTCACCATCGGGGCGCCGGAGGGCCAGGAAAACATCCTCGGCACCGGGGGCCGAAACCTGGCGCACCAGGACGTGCGTGGCACCCGCCGGGATGGTCACCACATCGTTGTAGCCGTAGCTGTGGGGTGGGTGCAGAGAGGTTGGACGGTGGCACCCATGGGTGCTCCCCGCCCCACCGGGCACTTACCGGGGTTTGGTGAAAGAACCGGAGATTTTGGTGCATCCGGAGCCGTCGCCGCCGCAGTTCATGCATTTATCGAACTTCTTCTTGGAGCCAATGATGCGGTCGCAGCCGGCGGGGAGGCAGCGGCCCCGCACGCACACCCCGGTGCTCTCCGGTGAGCACGGCGTCCCATCGGCGACCTGCGGCACGGCACGGCCTCAGCGCCCTTCGCAAGTCGGGGGGGACGGACCCGTGCTAGGGTTATGGGGCAAGGGGGGATGGCAGCGCTCACCCTCTGCTGCAGCACATGGTAGTAGCCCAAGGTCTGGGACTGGCAGATGAGCTTGCACCGGTCCCGTTCGGCCACGCCGCTGTAGCGAGGGACCCAGTCCCGCGGCGCCGGCAGCCCCCTGACGAGCTCCGGACCGCGGTTGTACTCGGCGCATTGCTCCTCCCGGAACGCCAGAGCTACCGGGGGGACGAGCGGAGGGGTCAGCGCCAGCCCCCGGTGCTTCCACCCCGGCCCCGTCCCTCCGCACACGGCGCTCACCGGAGCCGCCGGGACACTCCTCCACGCTGCAGGACTGGACACGGGTCCGTTTCCCCCGGCAGAAGCGGCCGCCGTGGAGCGGCTCGGGCTCGGTGCAACCGCGGTGCGAGAGCCGAACGCCGCCGCCGCAGCTCCGGGAGCAGCCGCTCCACGGCCCCCACGGCCCCCAAGCGCCGTCCACCGGAGTCTGCACCGGGAAACGCAGCGGGAGCGGGGTCAAACGGGAGCCCCGGGGGGCGAGAGGCGGCCCCGGTTCCCCCCCCCCCCCCGTTTCTCCCCACACGCTCACGGTGAGCTCCTGCATGCGGGTGATGCTGACACAGGCCCCGTCCATGCAGGCGCTGCCCGGCGCGCACGGTGTGCCGTCGGCCCAGGGGAAGTGCTTCGTTTGGCACACGGAGCGGCCGCCAGTGTGGCCGGTGCACCAGAGCCGGGAGCAGGGCGGCTGCTGGTCCCCGCAGTGCCGCGACTCGGGCCCGAAGGCGAGCTGGCATTGCCGCAGCAGCGGGTACACGCTGCCCGGCAGCGCCGACGGCAGCGGCAGCCACTCCGGAGGCTGGTCCAGGAGGCAGTGACCTGCGGGGAGCGGAGCACCGGTGATGCCGGGGAGCTCCGGATGGGACGTGGCCGCACCGGGGCTGCCCCGAGCCGGGTCTTACCGTGGCCGTTGTCCAGGAAGTCGGTGATGAAGCGGGCGCTGCACGGGGACCACATCTCGCCGGGCTCCAGCGAGGAGAGGACGGGAGCCATCACCCGCCGGGCTGCTGCGGTGCCACCGTTCAGCTCCCGGCAGGGCTGCGCCGTGTCGTGCAGCATGTTGAAGACGTGGCCTGCGCCGGGGGACGGTGGCATCAGCCCCGAGAGGGTTTTGGGGTGCTCCGATGTCCCCCGTGTCCCCGTGTCCCCCCGTGTCCCCATCCCCACTCACCCAGCTCATGAGCGACGGTGAAGGCAGACTGCAGCCCATCGTCCTCCACCACGGCGCAGCTCCGCGCCGGGTCGCACACGGTGCCCACATCGGCCATGCCCAGCGTGGCACAAGTGGTGGCCCCACACAGGTCCTGGGGGGGGGGGGGGGGTAGGAGGGGGGTGAGCACCCCAAAACCAGCACCCAAACCCCTTGGGGGGCACCACCAGCACTCAGCAACCCCATAGGGACCCCAAGCAGCGCGGACCCCCCCAAACGTCCCCACCTGCCGGGTGAAGAGCAGGGCGGTGTCGAAGTGCAGGGGGCTGTCCTCGTCGGGGACATTGAGCCCCTGTTGCCACTGGCAGAAGTTCCGGAGCATCTCGGCAGCGTTGGAGGTCGGGGGGGGCCCGGGGGTGCCGGGGCCCAGCACCAGCAGCCGCGTTACCCGCAGCTCCACCGCGTTGCCGAGGCTGCCGTGGCGGAAGGAGCGGGCGGCCGCCGCCAGCACCGTGAGCAGGTACGGCCGCAGCCCCGCACCGTGGAACCGCGCCATCGCCTCGTCCGCCACCACGAGGAGCTCCACGAACCGCGGCACCGAGACGAAGCGCTGGGTGGGGGGGAAAAGGGGGCTTGGAGGGGCGGGCTGGGGTACCCCGGCATCACCCACTGCATCCCGGGGTACCCCGGCATCACCCCACTGCATCCCAGTGACCCCCAGCATCACCCCGCTGCATCCCGGTGACCGCCAGCATCACCCCGCCGCATCCCGGTGACCCCCAGCATCACCCCACTGCGTCCCGGTGACCCCCAGCATCACCCCGCTGCATCCCGGTGACCGCCAGCATCACCCCGCCGCATCCCGGTGACCCCCAGCATCACCCACCGCATCCCAGTGACCCCCAGCATCACCCCACTGTGTCCCGGTGACCCCCAGCATCACCCCGCCGCATCCCGGTGACCGCCAGCATCATCCCGTCGCATCCCGGTGACCCCCAGCATCACCCCACCGCATCCCGGTGACCCCCAGCATCATCCCGTCGCATGCCAGAGCCCCGGGAGCCAGCGGGGGAAACCCTGGTCCAGCCCATCCCAGTTTAGTGTGTCCGGTCCTCCTCGTTCGTTCTGCCGCCAGTTCGTTCTCGTCCCAGCCTATCCCAGCCCGGTTACATCCCCATCTATCCCAGCCCATCCTGGTCCCTCCCATCCTGCTCCAGCCCAGCCC